TCAGCCTCAGCAGCCAGCAGCTGTCTGAGTGAAGAAATGCCTCTAGCTCCAGTGGGCTGGGAGCAGGAGGCAGAGCTGGACCCCAAGGCTGAGGGGCTTTCACTCAGCCCCTAGAGCCTGGCACTTTAAACTTGGACTTAAAGCCTTCAAATTTTAAGAATAAACTGTTAAGGCCATCCCATTTGTGGTATATTCTTGTCAGAGCGGCACTAGGTAACCAGAACAAGTAGAGTTTTTTCTTCCCTGATTTTTACTGTGTCCCTTACTCCCAACCAAACACTGAACCAAAGACGTTACAGCACCATAACCTAATAAATTGAGAAATATAGTTATACTTGACATCAAGGTTCAGATATTAAAAATTGAGAAAAGGTACATCAACCTGAAACTGTACATTATTATTATTTCATTCTATGCTGGTATCTTGTTGTTGTTGTTGTTGTTATGTAGTAAATGAGGAATCTTATTTAAAAAAATGTACCCTACGTTTGAATACCTTTTGTCATGAATCTCAGTATGAAAGAGTAAACAGTATGATATATTATTAAAAGACTAAGTTTTGAACCCACTAAGTATGTTCTAATCTGTTTTATCCATAACAGTCTTTTTAAAAGGACATTATGATGAGTATGAACTGTTGTATGGAAAATGAATTTCCTTTGTATATTTTCACCCAAAGCACACGCACACACACACGCACACACACCTTTTTAAAAAAAGACATTTGATGACTGTCTATTTGATCTGTTATAAAATTAGAGTATCTGTAGCCTAATTAAAACAATGGGAGCTCTGGTGATATAGTTTCTAAGGCATTTGACTGCTAACCACCAGCCCCTCCTCTGAAGGAAAATTGGGCTATCTACTTCCATAGTGATACTGTCTTGGAAACCAAGGAGGGGTCGCTATGAGTCAAATCTACTCAACGGCAGTGACTTGAATTAAAACAGGACTACTAAATATATCGATGTACTTAGTTCTCTAACTTCTTTTAACAGCTTTTGTAGCTCCTAAGTGAAGTATTGGCACAGTGGCTGCAATGATGGGCTCAAGTACAGTAAGGACTGTGAAGCTGGCAAAAGACCAGGAGATGTTTCCTGCCGCTACACACAGTGTTGCTATGAGTCAGAATAGACTCAATGGCACCTGACAGCAGCAATAAGGGAAGTAAAATACGGTTGTTCTCCAATAAAATACAGTAAGCATTCCTTAACAAAAGTAAAATCTTTAATAAAAAATAAGACTTTGCACATAGCTCTAAAATTATAAATAATATTTTTAAAACATTACAGATATATGCTAGTAAGGACTGTACCTGATTACTTTTTATTACCACCCAATAAATCCAGACAATAAACATAATTATTTCTACACCCAATAGTAAGTGTTGATTCCCAAACCACAGGAGAAGAGAAGACTTCTCCAGGAAGTTCATAGACACTTTGCAATTGTCCACTCTTTGATTCTAAGATCCACAGTTTCCCATCTGTAGATGCTGCTGCCAGCAACGTTTTATCACTACTGTTGTGGTTCTGGAAAGCAAACGGTGTTGCATACACCCTAGAAGTAGCTTCAAATTTCCATTGGAGGTGTCCTTGCATGTTACAACAGTATATAAAGCAATCATGGGAACCAAAAAATATCTCTTGTTCTGATGCTGAGGTACATGGAGATGAAAAGATTGGTCCACTGGTAGAGAACTGCCAAACCTAAAAAAAAAGGTGATAAAAGCAAAGAGAACTCATTAATCTAATTGCAACAATTCTCCCTTGGATTAAAGCTTGAAGAGGCTCTTAATGAAAATGTTGAGATGCAAGCTATTTTAAAAATACTTAAAAAAAAAAAAAAAGGAGAGATGATACAAGCTATTTTAATAGTAACTACACAAAGAGATTAAGAACAGCTTTTTCTGAAAAGTTGCATCCTCATATTACACTTCTACCCCAGTGGGAAAACCCCAAACAAAATGCCCTAAAGCATTCTTACTACGTGATTCACTGTTAAGTAATTTTACAAAGTAAATTAATTTTGAACCCCAATCAAGAATTAGTACTAGTTGATCAACACAGTGGCACTGAGGAAGAGGAAGACATAGAGAGGTGCATGGGAAGTACACACAACAAAGATGAACCCTTTCGCACATACAGTACCACGTTGTTGAAGGCAAACATAGTACGGGTGGACAGGCTCAACTATTAGGTATGTCTATACAAGGGGGAGTTTGTCCATGACCATGTATAGGGTTGGCAGACAATGTTTCTAAGTGTATTTGTATTTTCTGCAAGAATTCCCAAGTATATAGTAGAGTTGACAAGGGACAAGGCTGTAGTCACTTCATGGTCACAGCCAACTACCTAGAGGGACTGAGCAGTTCAACCTGTGGGCTCGGGACCATAGTCGTAGGTGACATCAAGCTCACTTGGCACAACATACTACACAAAAACACTGTTCCACATCCTACTTTGGCGAGTGAGTAACATCTGGGATCTTAAAAGCTTCAAGCAGCCATCTAGATGCAACAACAGGTCTCTCTTCATCTGTTAGCAATCAAATACCTTAGGCACTATGCCACCAGAGGTCCCATTTTGGCTACTGAATCTTTCAATATTGCAACTTAAAGACTGAACTGTTTCTTCAGTTCTTTCAGTTTGAGAAACACCAATCTCAATAGAAGTTAAATTAAAATTGACTAAAAATTGGTCATATTTTGAAAACACATGGGAGAGGGAGGCAAAAGATGTATAACAATGTCTGGGTAAAAATCTTTTAAACTTACTAAAGCATTTTAAAATTAAGACACTTATGATGTAGCAATAAAAACAGAACCAGTTCTCAACACAGAGTTGAACAGTGATGTTTAAAATTTTATTTATTTTACTTGTCACTCATTACCATGCCTTTTAAAAAGGTATGTAACAACTAGAAATTTTCACCTGTTCTCCAAAATGAGTAAAGCAGAGTAAATTTCCATCTACACAGCCAATACAAATATACTGTAGGCAACACCGTGGCGAGGAGAAGAGTGGTTTTCCACAGAAATGTTTCCAAACTCTGTCCCCAGTGGCCTGTCAAGACAAAAAGCAATTTATGGCATTTAAAATCATTCTACTACTCACTTTCCCTCCATAAAATAAACTCATACATCTCCCAAAAGCAGAAAATGCTATAATAGCATGCTGACATTATAAATGAAGCTGGCACATATATAAATGAAACTAAACACATACACATAGCTATGGAATTAATCGATGCTATTGATAAGAACTAGGATAAAAACTTGCAATTAAACAAGTAACGAAATAGCACACAATATCTGTACCTAGGATGAACATGAAGTTTTTAATACAAACAGATTTTTGAAATTCTGCCAATTTAAAAAGTAGATAAACAGAAACCAACAATGTTGGCAAGAGACTGGAACCTTCATACACTGCTACTGGGACCATAAAATGGTGCAAGCACTGTGGAAAATGGTATGGTGCTTTCTTAAAAAAGCTGGAAATACAAATATCATATGATCCAGTAATCCCACTACTAGGTATATATACAAGAGAAGTGAGTGCTATGGCACAAACAGATATATGCATACCTATGTCTATCGCAGCACAATTCACAATAGCAAAAAGATGGAAATAACCTAAACGCCCATCAAAGGAGCCACAAATCAACAAACTATGGTACATACACACAATGGAACACTACACAATGTTAAAGAACAATGAAGAATCTGTGAAACATCTCGTAACATGGATCAACACAGAGGCCATTATGCTGAGTGAAGTTAGTCAATCACAAAAGGACAAATATTGCATGAGACCATTATAAAAAGTCAAGAAAAGGTTCTCACAAAAACAAGAAATATTCTTTGATATCTATCAAGGGTAAGTGGGGAAGGGAAGGTAAACCACCAACTAGAGGGCAGACATACTAATTTGGATGAAGGGGAAGAAAAAAAGATAAAAGACATGCATAGAAATTCATATTTGCTTATTTTTCTAATTTCATGCCAATCATTTTTAATGAATTCAAGTTCAGTCATATCTAGTATACACATGATAGTACCAGTACCAGTCATCCTGACTCACGGTGACCCAACGTGTGCCAGAGTGGAACTGGGTTCCATTTGGTTTTCAATGGCTGATTTTTGGAAGCAGATCACCAGACCTTTCTTCCAATGAGCCTCATCTGGGGGACTTAAACTGCCAACCTCTCAGTTACCAGCTGAACACATTAATAATGTACATGACTTAAGGACTCCATTTCTAACTGAAAACTACCTCCAAGTTTTCAAATTCAAACAAATAAATAAAAGAATATTAAAGAAAAGATAGGTAATAAAATTAGTACAAATTATTTTATGCCTACAGGATTTATAGCCAGTAGAAGTCCTCCTAGTGTTGCAAAATATAAGTGATGTGGAATCAGGCTCAAGCAAGGAGAAGAAAACACAGTTCCTCCACATTTTAACTTCCAAACACATGTCTTTTTCTGCAAAAGAGAAAGCAAATGAATTCTTTTTGGCTATAATTAACAAATCCATATATTCTACTTAATAAAGCTTTTTTTTAATACATGCCCATTGTGGATAATCAGTATAGGAAGACAAAAAGACCACTGTTAAAAATTTTAGCACTTTTCTGTTTTGATATTTCTGATACATAAACATGCAATCTAATATGGTTGAGACCATTTTGAATATAAAATGTGGTATCTTTTGTTGCTCACTTTGTAAAACCTTTACATGTAATTTTAATGCACAATATCTCATATGAACATAAAATAATCTCCTTTGTTAAACACTGTTTCGATTTTGTGGTATTATAAATAACTTGAAAATAGGCATCTGGGTACATCTGTCTACATTTCTCATGATTTTCTCAGGACAGATTCCTAGAAGAATTTTACTAGATCCAAGGACATAAAACTTTTACCTACTGCAAATTATTTTTCTTAGAGGCTCCACCAGTCCCAAACTCTAACTACTATCATCAGCATGGCTTAATCATTCTACTATCTTTTCTAATCTAATACCATTTGCTTGAACAAAACTAAACATACTGCCACAGAGTTGGATCTGACTCATAGTGACCCCTCCTTGGGTTTCTGAGGCAATATCACTATTGAAGTAGATTGTCCAATCTTCCTTCTGAGGAGTGGCTGGTGGGTTTGAACCACCTGCATTCTGGTTAGCAGTCAAATGCCTTAGGCACTACGCCACCAGAGCTCATAAAAGTATAAAATATGTAACTATATTTACTAGCTATTTCTTCTTTGGGAACTTGTGTGCCTATGTCCCTTGTTTGGATCTTGCTATCTTTCTTTTATGTATTTGCTCTTAGTTTTCATTTGAGTTTGAACTTCTGTCACATTAGTTCAAACAATTTCCCAAATTATTTCTTTTAATTTTATAATCCTTGTCATATGAACTTCTTTATGTAATCAAGTTTTATTCATATTTTATGATTTTTTTCTATTTTCAGGCTGTTAACTCTAACCTCTTTATATTTCAAAACTTTGAGTAGTAAATTTATTTATGGAAAATTTGGTAAGGAAGGTAAACATTTCTTAAAATATGAAGATGATTAAATTAACTCTTTATCCTTCCCACAGCACAGCACTAAACTTGGGAGATGGTTAAAACCTGCTCTCAGACTGAACAGCATCTGACAGTTTCACTGCTCCTCGGCTTATGGTGAGGGAGACCAATGACATGAATTCTTACATAAATGTCCAAAGCATATGCATGCTGGTCATGAGAACCGATATAAATGAGTCCTGTAGTTGGATCCATGGTTGCAGAGCTTTTGACGGCATCCTGAGTGGTAAATATCCAGTGTTTTTCTCCACTATTACTTCTCAGAACATAAACCAACCCATTATAACAGCCTGTGAGGAAAATTAAATATAAAAGATGAGATTAGGTATGTCTCTAATACAACTCTTCAGCCTACATCATGACAATTATATTTGATACTCTGCAGGCATACTTGGGCTCTAAGTTCAGCTCATCTGATTTAAATTTCAGCTGTGTAAAGCAGAAATTGAACAATAATCACTTATGTAAAATACCCATTTACCTGGCATGGTATACCTTATTTTTCAAAAGTTCTATGAAGTGCTTCATTACCAAGAAAACAATGAAGAATGCATGAGGCTTTGACAAACCTGGATTTGAATCTCATTATGGCCATCACTACACCAAGCATAACTAAGCCTGTTTATTCTTCTGCAGAATGGAGACATAACTACTTCAATGGTTAATGTGGGAATTAAGACAATGTGGATAAATAACCAGTGCACAGAAGGTGTTCAAGAAATGCTAACATTGGGCTTCTGTAAGATGGCAAACCAGGCAGAAAAGCTACACAGATCCCCTTCAACAAAGAAAAGAGAAACCAACTAACACAGACACAGAAGATAATCCCAAAGCCCTAAGCTTTGAAAGGAAGGATACAGAAGAGAATTAAACACCGACTAGTAGAAGAACCTGAATGAAAATAGTGAATAAGGAGAAAAATGGAGCTTCAGACTGTCAGCTATCCTGACAGCACAGACAGCCTAAATATTTCCAAGTGGTGTTATGACCTGAGAATTAACAAAAATCGGCCGTGTTCTCCAAAGGCTACATGGACAACTGTGCTGCTGGCTGATGACTAAAAAGCGAAACAGCAAAGAAGGAGACAAACTGAGCTGTGGACTTCTGGCTGTCCAGGAGGTGCAGCCATTTTCAATATTTAAAAGTGGTGGCCACTTTGAGTGTTTACAAGCAGTGGCCATTTTGGATATTAAAGTGACAGCACTCTCGTTCAGATCCCAGGGACCTAAGAATAGGCTCCGCTTGCCAATGGCAGGACAGACATATGGGAGGCTGACAATGGGAAAGTAGACAAAGGGTGAGTGGATAAGAGCTGCCAACTAGCGAATATAGGAGTGTAGTACCTTGCTTACTCAGATACATCCAAACAAAACAAAGAGAATGAAAATCTTGGGTGAATCACTCCAACATACAATCACCAATTAAATATAAACACAAAAACATAACAGTGTCTCGAGACAACAGACTATCACAGGCCACACAAAGAAGCAAGATAAAGCAGCAGAAACAAGGGACCAGGATACAGACCCAGAACATATCCCTAAGACGCAGCACTGGAACTCTCTGATAAGGAATTCAAAAGAATTATGTTTAATACTATACAAAACATTACCTACTACTTTGGTGAGTAGCAACTGGGATCTTAAAAGCTAGCAAGCTGCCATCTAGATGCAATGGTGGGTCTCTCCTTGTCTAGAGCAAAGAATAATGAAGAAAACCAAAATTCATGGAAACAATTAGTCCTAGTGACTGCTACACCATCTGATCTGCAGCATATACAACTATGAGACCAGAAAAACTAGATGGTGCCCGGCTACCACTGTCATCCACTTGGAAGGGGATCTAGTAGAAGATCCTTGATAGAGAGGGAGAACAATGTGGAACAAAACTCAAAATCATTTGGAGAAAAAAAAAA